GGAAATGAAATATCGCGATATTTCAGTGTATCGATATTTTCTTACACCCCTAGTGTTCAGAATCTTTTCTGCCACACACTAACCTGTTTTTTACGCTTGTTTTTCTCCGTTTTGCCCTTCCGCCGTTCTTCTTCCTCTATCAGTTCCTTGGCAATTTTATCAGCCTCCTACAAAAACAAACATTAAGAACACGTCAACAGGCAAGTTTGCCAAATGTAAAACATCATTTTTAATGTAGGACTACTTCAGCTTTAATTCTCTTGATGTTTAAATTTTATATTCCAAAGCAGAAGCTGCAAAACAGCGTAGACTCAACTAGACTTGAGGTGAGACAACAGAAAACAGTAAATGTCACCTCATCAGTCAGTTGTTTTATTTGTGGATGTGGTTCTAAATGCTTTCTTATGGCACGCTGAGGATAATAATAATCATCATCATTGTCGTCGTCAGTGTCGTCGTCATCATCTTCATCTGTATATAACAGGTCATCCTCCAAGGACTTCGGAAATTGTAAACCTGTAAGATGAGAGAAAAAAAACCCAGAAAACAAGAATCTTTTAAGTCGCTGCGATTCTAAAACAGTAAATCTTCTAAATCTCATCAACGTTCATTTCAACACTTTAGTCAAGAGGTCAGTTTTGCAATAGGCAGTTGATTGTGTAAAGTTATGCAATTACTTTGCACACAGCAGCAGCAACAAGCTGTAGCAGCCTCAGGGGCACTTCTGGAAGGACTTTAATGATATTATTTTAAAATGGCAGCGCTTCAGTCTTCGCTGCGTTCAGACCAGCCATTAGCTCGTCAAGCCTTCAAAAATAAGGTAGTTCTCCAAAATGAGGTGATCTACACCAAGTAAGATATTTCCTATTCATAATTTTTCAAGTAAATGTCATTCCAAAATATCCTTTTAAATAAACAATAACATCAGTGTGGGATCATATATGTTTATTTTATACATGCATTGTAATGTAGTAGCTTGTTTAAAATGAAAAAAAAAAAATCTTGGTACTGAAACCGCTCTAAACTGATATATTTAATCACCACACTAAAACTAAATGTTTATCATAATCAAGCTTTTAAAAGTACTTGAACATTATGGAAGCAGTTGCACATTTATCATTACTTAGAACTTTGTACTTTTTACTCTAAACCACTGCTGGTCCCAGCATAAAAACATTATTTTAATTTAAACCATTCAGTTTAATCTTTTTTTAAAGACTGGGATCTGAGCAATCTGGTGAAAAAAAAAAGGACAGAAGAGAGACCAGAATAAATAACTCACACTAGAAGACCTAAATGTTAGTCTGCTAATGTAGAGTGCCGCTTTTAACCCTCTTTAAGAACTAAATGCTGTCCTGGGTCAGGAAACTGAATAAACAAGTGGTGAAGCAGCACTGACAGGTAAGAATACATGAATAAATAAATGATTAAATGCACTCATTGAGGAAAAGCCATACCAAAAAGAGCAGGACCGAGTGCACCTAGTAAGGAACCTCCAGAACTGCGTCCACTTATGAAATCCACCACTGATTCCTTAAAAGAAAAGAGAAAAAAACTTTAAAAGGCATCTTTCAGTATATAGCTGTGTTGCCTTTAGGTGAAGATTGTAAGGTCACTGGTTCAACTCCCCGGATGACAAGAGAAATGTCCAACTCTGGGCCAATAAGCAACACCTACAGCTGCTTATTCAAATTAACCATCATCTCCCAAACAAATGTTAATTTGCCTAATTGTCAAATAAGCAATTACTTTACAATTTAACCACTGACCTTATCATCTACTTGGAATACTAGGATGTTTGTGTTACATTATCATAAATTAACCCATAAAACAGGAAACTGCTCTGGATATTCTGTTTGACCACCTTTAGGTTTGATTAGGGACTTTCTTTCTTACTGTAATTGTTTAAATTTATATATATACTGTATATTGATGCCAGTGTTTCCAGGAGGCTAGTGGGAACGTTGCTCCAAGTGTTGAAGGTGTGTGTGTGTGTGTGTGTGTATATATATATATATTTTTTTTTTTTTCAATTGAAGCAACAACTTAAAACCAATGAGAGCATTGTTATGGATTTATCAACTAGTAATTTAATGCATACCCATAGATCAACTCAATTCAAAAATACTTTATTGATCCCAGAGGTAAATTAGGTAAGATGTTGCCTTATCATCAGTTATGCGCTTTATATACATATTCTAAAACTTTCCACTGATTCACATAATCACTTGACAAAGGTTAACATTTAAAGACACAATAAACAAACTGGACTCGTACTCACATGTGTTCGCATTAGTCTCGAGTTTTCTCGTATTACGGGCTTCGGAGGCCCACCTGCTGACAGGTACAGAAAGAGTGACGTCAAACTTAAGGTTCAGATTAATTCAATCGACCAAGAAACCGAAGTTAAATGTTGTTTAAGTCCAGATGTAAACACAGCTCAGTCTGAAGCGATCTGACGCAGCTAGCTGGTTAGCTAACAGCGACTCAAGTCCACTTCTCAGTAAATGAAACTCAGGGAACAGAACAGACTGCTCCAGTCTTACCTTTAACTACTGCTTTCTTTCTTGACATGATGATTTTTTGATTCACGCCTTCTCGCAGGTTTCCAGCACCCGTGTTCATCGGCTCCTTCTGAATATTAGATTATTATTTCTTCCGTCCGACTTTTGGATCAGGCACAAACTCACTGCCCATCTTCTTCTGCTTCTTTCCTCGTCTAACATAAACTTAGTGTCGTTTTGTTACAGCAACACCGCCATCCTCTGGCGTCAGCTCTGTTCCTGATTAAAAAAAAAAGAAATGTAAATAAAATATATCCAGTGTGTGCTTTAGACAGATACAGGACAGAGTTAGTACTAACTATTTCACAGCACGTGCGAGTAAAAACTGAACATTAAACATGAGAACGGCTTGAATCTTAGTAAAACACAATTTTTTTAATTATGAAATGAACAAAAGTATTTACATATTTTACCTGCCATAATGAGTTGGTGAAAACACTAAACGATTCAAGATGTGTTTAAACGATTTAAAACTGTGGCCATTAGTTTTCGCAAAATTCTATTTCCGGTTTCGTTCCCTGCACTTCCTCTTAGCAACGGTCCTTAGAAACAAAAGCAGAGGGAGCGAGCTCATGGCGGACTGTCATTAACAACAACATGGAACATCAGGAGGTAAACTGTGAAACCTAACTTTAAATCGGAACATATCAAACCATGAATTTATGGTGTAAATCGGAACATATCAAACCATGAATTTATGGTGTCTTCCCGCATATTCACAAACCGGAAGTTTCGGATTAACGGTTATTGTTAGCTAGCTGCTAACGACCGTGAGCTAATAACTTTACTAAACTAATTTTAATGCTACTCTGATGAAATATTAAATGTGCATTAGTATTACTAATACAATCGCAAACGTCTCACAAGTTTGTGAGTTTACTCTAAACGGATCCTGCCGCGTTTTCAACCAAGCTAACAACAACCTGTTGCTTCCAGCTAGCACCTAACTGCTTTGACATACATCAGGCTGTTCAAAACATTTCATCTGTAGGTGCAAAGAACCACCGCTTATTTGTCCAAATGTCACAAGTAAAGAAACAACTAGCACGAGAAACAACTTACAAAATGGACTGTTACAAAAAATGTTGTATATAAATCCTAAACTCTCCTGATAAACTGTAGTTTAATACATTTTAAGGACTTTGTGTTTGATATTATTACATAGTGTTGCAGGTATTCAAGTTTGAAGCGTAATATATAAGTTTTTAAGATGATTCAGAGAAAACTAAAATCTAATATAAGTAAGGATTCAGAAATATCAGCATTAACATTTATATCAGCTGATGTTGGATGTTGAGGAAGATGGTAACTTATAGAAACTTTGTTTTGTGACTTTACAGAGGGCGACAACATCTCATTTATCCAAAGAGGACGATGGGAGTCGGCCCTCTGGTGAAACACAACCAGAGGCTGAAAGTGAAAGTGGTGTTTGTCAGGATCAGAGACAGGCCGGTGCCAGAGTCAACGACTGGGAGCTTCAACAGTCACACAGAGGAGCTTTGCACATGGGTATGTTTATAATCAAACAGTGTTTGGAATCAGTTAAATGTTGAGATGATAGGCTGCTCATATAAAAGTTGCCAATTGTATTCCTTCCTGTTCACGTGGATAACCCATTTTGTTTGAATTAGAATTTCAGGACAGTAACCKGTCTCCAGCCCTCCCGCTTCTATCTGTAGCCTCAGAAGAGGAACACAACTTCACTGGATATTCCTTTTCCCAGCAAAGTCATACAGATTTTGTTCCTTTAAGGTAAATATACTGTATATACAGTATATACCATCAAATATGTGACCCATCATATCGAAATGACATATTACATTTTCAGATTTATGGCTTTAAAAGCTACATTTTGATACCTGGATCATTCTGAATTCATAAGCTTTTCCATAGATATGACTCAATTTGTCTTGTTTGTTACGATAATAACAATCTGAATCCTAATTTTATGTAAATTCATTGAGTAATTTTTACGTTAATCTAAAGAGTAAACCTCAAATATTACTGGTATACTAAGATTTCCCACTTGTAAAGAAACAAAAACTTCGCTAGCTCACAGGAAAAAATTCAAAATTTTAAGGCATTTTTCCTCAAAATCAAGTTTTTTTTGTTGCTACTGCTAAAAAAAAATTGCTTCCAAAAAGTTTTTTAGGATTATATTTCACACAGTTCATTCAAATGATTCATTGATAAGGCATTTATTCATTATATTTTGACAAAGTGCTATTTTTGCACACGTTTAAATCAAAAACCCTATCTATATCTGCCTATTTTTCCACATTCCACTTTTGGACTTAATCCTTGTTTCGATGTGGTGGGTCACATATATATATATTTTTATATACTTTTCTATATTATGCCAGTAAAATGGTAGGGTTTTAAAAATTATTGTAACTTTTTTCTAGGGCGTATCCTGATGTTTCCGTGGCATCAGAAAGATTTGGTGTTCCTCCCCAGGACTGCACCACTCCCTCCATGGAGCGCAGCTCTTTGTCTCAGTACCCTTTAACTCAGGCAACAATCCTTTCTGAAGAGAGCTGCTTCACTCCATCTCAGCAGAGTTTATCATCTGAAAACAAAACCACAGAAAAGGAAATGTCTCACCTGAGTACCGTTACCGATAATGAACCAGGAATACAGTCAAGAGAAGGTGCCGGTAGCAAGGAGAGGGAGTCGGAGGCACAAACTAACCTTACAGACAAGCAAACAGGTGGCGTTGTTGACGATGAGATTTTCTTCCTGAGGAAAGATGTTCCTGCTCAGCATCTTCTGGACCTTTTACAGAAAGAAGTCGGTTTGCGAAGCAGCAGCAGTAGTTCTGTGTCTTCTGAGCTTCGAACCTCCACAGAGGGTACAGACGAGTCCAAGAACGCTGAAGGTGGCAAACCTTTTCCAGATGAAAGCTTGGTTAAAAGAGAAGGTCCTCCAGGTGAAGCTCATCTTTTCCAGAAACAGGCAGAACAATCTGATCAGTCAGCAGCTCTGTCAGCAGAGGTCGGTAACATCACCACGGGTTCCCGCAGCACTCAGCCTGATGAGAGCAGTGAGCTGTTACACAAACAGCTGCTGTCTGAAGCACAGAGACTGAGCAGACTGGAAGCTGAACGTAACAAAAAACAGCAAGTCGTTCTGACGCCACCGTGTCCGTTGTTCACGCCGTCCCTCCGAAGTGTTTCTGAAAGGAAACCGAGTGGGAACTCAAACCCTGCTAGTCTGCAGAGGATGGGATCATCGTCACCAGATGCTGAATGCACTCACAAAGAACAGAACCTCTCATCACAGAGCCAAACGGGATACGATGGGTCCTACCTGACTTTCCTTCCACAGTCTCAGTCTACTCCAGGACTTGGTATGGCTCAGTTGAAACCCAGTGTCAAGACTAAATTAGGTCAACTTTCAGCCGTAGAATCTGAAAAGGAGAACTTGTATCAGTCGAGCACAGGGATCACTCCACAGCCAGCCGGCCCAAACGTTGACGCCCGTCTTCCAGAAGATGAAGCTAATTGGTGTGATAAAGATGCTCCGCAGACTTCAGCAGAGGTCCAGTTTCTCCCAAGACTCAACTATATACAGAAAATCGATGCTTGGAGGGCGAAACAGAACAATAGCCCGGCGCTGGAAGAACTTGATGGCATCTCTTCTAAAAACAAAGCTCACGATGCAGCGTCCAACCCTTCAAACCAAATGACTCAACAAGCCGGGACTTTACGACGGCCTTCTGTTACAGGTGCAGCCACTCACAGCTCCTCCTCAGCGCCCTCCGGCTCCTCTTCTCCAAGGAGAGGGGAGGCAGTGGGCGGTGCTCTGTGTGACAGGGAGAACCGGGGGTCTGCAGCACCACCCTCACCCTTTGGCAGGTCCCAGTCCCACTCCTCTCTCAGCACAGTCGTTCTGTCGATCAGTAAGCACCAACAGACAGACGTACCTCCAGCAGAAGAGAGGACTCAGAGTCAGGATGATGCTCCACATCATCATCCTCATTCCAGCGCCGCAATCCAACCTTCACCTGTCCTGAACCTCGGCCACTTCAGTGATGTGTCATTCGATCAGACGCTTTCAAGTTCCCAGGATAGTTACAGTGAAGTTAAAGTAGCAGCTTCTGTTGGCACGTCCTCTGTTGTCAGTCTGGAGCTGGACCATTACGCTCCCTACTGGACCTCAAAACATTCAACTCCACCTCCTCCCAAGTCTCAAGAGCTCAACATCGATGAACGGATTCCGGTAAAGGACAAAACTGACCCTGCTATTTAATGTTTAATGTCCCATCTCTCCAAAAATATTGTTTTAATACACAATTATTTATCAACTTGATTTCCTGATGAGTTTGACGTTTTTCTTGCAGCTGTATCTTCAAAACCTCGGGATAGACCAGACCCCTTCAAAGATTTTGACTCCGTTTGCACCCAGAGGACCGATTAGAGAACCTGAATTTTCTCCCACTGATCTCGTTACAATTAAAGGATCGACCGGGACCCCTTCGAGGAGCACTCAACCCTCTGAGGGTATCAAATTTTAAACTGATCCGAAAAGTTTATGTTTGAACTTAAATCACGTTTCATTCAACCTGTTCTTTTGTGTTTTAACTAGAGGTTGGTGGGGTTTTAGAAATAGTTTTAATTTATAGTTTTAACTCAAGTCCTTGCTTTCTTTATGTACAACAATGACCTAATAGAATATGTTTTATTTTCATTTTATTTTTATTAACATACTGTATTATGATATATTGAGAACATTTTAGAGAACTGCTTTGCCTCACCATCAAAGAGCACAAATAACAGAGAAGTGTCTGATATTCTTAATCTGTCAGAGGTCCATCATGGTGGTTATACTGAAACACTCTATTCTGTTTCCAGGAGGCAGTCCCCATAAAGAAGAGTTCTCCAGGTCCAGCATTCTGTCAGTGGGCTCCAGTGTGTCCATACCATTTAGCCTGGACAGCCTTGGTCTGGCTGTGTCTGTCCCAGAGCAGGTCAGAGCGAGGATGGTCTCTCTATCAGAAATGGAAGCTATTCAGAGTGAAAGCAGACTGGCACCTGGCTCTCAGCCTCATGAAGGGTTCCAGTTCTCCTCACTGCAGCCCAGCCAGCATCAAAGAGACGGCAGACAAGCTGTCAGTCAACCTGCAAATCGCCCTGACTCTGATACCTCACTGACTCTTAAGTCAAGGGTTGTAGAAAACAACTCAAACTCACCTTTCCAGAGCAGCCAAAGTGTGGATGAAGATGCAGAAAAGTCCTTTGTCAGCACCAACGCCGTGTCAGAGATCCATAAACTACTCTCTCACGCAGAGAACATCATATCTACTGGATCTTCTGCAGCCTCCTCAGCTGCTTTACCAAACCCACTCTTCTCTCACGAAGACATTTTCAAATCACCACGTCCCAAAACCAGCAGGATCCAGAACTCTTCGTTTGCCTGCAGCTCAGCAGACAGAGACCTCAGAACTTGTTCCTCACTGCTGTGTAGAAGGTCTTCATCAGACTCCATGCTTGCCTCAGAGAAAACAAGGCAAACCTCTGTTGGTCGTGAGAGTATGACCTCATTTCTTCAACCCAATAACTCAACACAAGCTGCTGCTGCTGTACCGTACATGCCACACGGTGGCGCTGTGGGTAGTAACGTAGAGACGTCTCTCGCCAAATCAGCCCGGAGGACGGAGCCTGAGGGCTGCAGTGCAGTACCCCCTGATAACATCCCAACACAGCCTCAAGTTATGAAGCCTTCAGCAGCTTCCAGCATACAGCAGCCTAACTCCCCTTCATCAGACAGAGGGGAGGTCTCAGAGGAGGAAGACAGTCCTTCACGTCCTGCCGCACAGAGTTGCTCCTCTTCCTCTGTCACTGAGGATGCTGATCAGGAGCCACTGAGTGATGGGAGCAGTGAGAGCTCACTCACACTTAGAGTGGCCAAATTACTACAAAGTGAATCTCCAGCCACCGTGATGTCCAGTACGCCCAGCGTCACAGAGCAGGAGGAGAACAAAACCAAAGGTAAACAGATTCACATCATTTCTTCTCTTCGTTTTTATATTTAATGTATTAAAAGTAAAACTTAAATGCATCATCCTCTTATTGATGCAGCAGAAGACACATTCCACTGCTTGGAGCGCTCTGATTAATGGGATTTTTTTTTGCTCAACTGATTGTTTGGAACTACTCTAGTTCAAGATGGCCTTTTTTTGTTTTATTTTTAATTAATTAATTAATTGATTGTTTAATTAATCACATATACTCACGCTTTATAATTTAATTGACCTTCACATTTATTTTTCCAACTTAGTTCCAACAAATTATATATTTTTGCACATAATTTAAATTTTACTGTATACATACATACACATACACACAGTATATATACATATATATACTGTACATATATATACTGTATATATATGTATGTATATATGTATATATATATATATTAATATATACAGTAAAATTTAAATTATGTGCAAAAATATATAATTTGTTGGAACTAAGTTGGAAAAATAAATATGAAGGTCAATTAAATTATAAAGCGTGAGGTAAAGCTCTCCTTTTTTAATTTAATTGGCACATTTTTAATTGTAATTATTTATTTATTTAGCTGTCTTTCTGTATATATATACTTTAAATAAAATTCTCCTTTTTGAATTATATTGGTGCACTTTAAGTGTATTTATTTATTTATTAGTCAATGTATATATTTCCACGTTTATTTTTAATTATGTCAGTTTCGGTCCTCCGTACTGCAGAAGCCTGATAATCACCTATTCATTCAAATCAGGTGTGTTTGAGCAGAGAAAAAAATAAAACATGCAGGGCTGCAGCCCTGGAGGACCAGGATCCCCCCCCCCCCCATTTACATAATCTATGATGCAAGTCCAATTTATTTTTGATATATAGCATTTTAATAACAACTGAAGGCATCAGTTGATTGTGGTACATAATTGAACAATGTGGCAGGAAAATACACAAAACTGCCCCATTAAGAGCTAACATGCTCAGTGTTTCAGACTTTGCTAATCTCAGAAACGTTCTTGTGTTTCAGAGTGGCTGAAGCTGAATGTATTGACACAGCAGTGTGAATTACAGCAGCTGAGCACAGAAGATCGAGAGCGCATTGAGGAGATCAAAAAGGAGCTGTTGTTAAGAAACCCTCTAAAGGTAACCTCTTAAAGATGACTCAAAAGGTCCAAAATGAACGTAAATTCATAAAACAACTCATGTAATCTCAAACAGTTTAAATGTTTTTATATTTGTATTTTAATGTCAGCTTACCAGTGGACAGTGTAAATCTTTCACTCAAGGTAACTGGTGTGTTGCAGTGTGACATATACGAGTAAACGCTTTAAATAAAAAGAGATGTTTTAAGTTACTGTTCTGTGTACAGTAGACTGTTGTTGTGTTTTCAGGTCTCTTGATAATTTTTTTGTTTACTCCTTCTAGAGCCAAGGGAGCACCGATACAGAGAGCAGTGCATCGTCCAGTCTTCAAACCAATAATCCTCTTCAGTCTGTAAAGATGTTTTTCACCCATCCTGATGTGGACAACCAGCACCACCTCAGTCTGAGGCACCCAGAGTCTCACACTAAGCCTCAGAGCACCCATCACTCTGAGTTAGAGGCCCTGGTGTGTGAGATTGCTGCCAGAGAAGGTGTAACCCTCGCWACAAAACAACCTCGGACTTTTCCATCCATCACTTCATCCGCCCGCATCACTGCTTCCTCTGCGCCTCCCATCAGCCCAGCCCCACTCCCACTGCTCATAACAGAGCTCCCCACAGAACCAAACACACCCGTTGTCACCGACCAGTCATTTCCACCACGTATGGATGAAGATGAAGGTGAAGTGGCTGCTTTAGCACAAACAAACAGCGAACAACCATCTGTTTATGAAGCAGGTAGCAGTTTCCAAAGCAGGAACCAAAGTGTGACTTCTCAGTCCAATCTAAAGAACTTTAGACAGGATTTAGATAAAACAGATGCAAACGTTCGACCTGACAGTGCGCCGTCCTTCAGTCACCACGAGGAGTCATCAAATCACACCAGCGTTGTTTCAGGTGTTGTTCAGAAACCAAATCCTGGGTCCACTGCTAGGCCAGGTCACGTGTCAAACGTCCACACCTCTGCATCTGCTGCCATGTCTGCTCCACCTGCTGCTGCTGCAGGGCTGCCTCAGCAGCTCCTCGTTACTCCCAGAGACCCAGCTTCAGCTGCCAGCAGTCCGGATGAAGGTGTCGGCTCGTCCAGCCCACCAGAGTGGTACCACAGAGAGCCCGAACCATCTGATACCTTCAACACGTTTGAAACTGTTGTGGCTCAGAGACGGGCGACAGCAGCAGCATCCCTCAAACGGCAACACAAAACTGAAGCAACTGCAGGAAGTCCCACTGCTGGAACACCAGGTCAGCGTTTCAAACTCAGGCAGCAGCTGATAAGCATTCTTTTATGGAATGATAGTCATTAATTAAAACTAGACCAAAACTAAAAGAAAAATAAAATATATTTAATCTTAATGTAAAGAGTGTTTATAAGTTGTCGTTTCCCCCCACAGTTCCTGTGCTGCTGCCTTACAAACCTCGTGGCAGTGAAGAGCTTTTCTATGTTCCCCAAACAGAAGCTGATGGTTCCTCAGCAGAGCAGTCTGACACCACAATGGAGAGCACCCACACAGGTACGTTTGTTTCAAAAAGCAGCCATACAGATACATAAACATACAAGTCATGGGCCAAATATCATCAAGTTCTTGCTTCTGTCTGTAGGTAAGAGTATCACACACACGTGAGGAATATGTGTGAAATGGTAAATCAGTATTGTCTTTAAATATTTCCACAAGATGTTGCTTTGTTCTCATCCCAATAATTCATTTTAAAAAGATCCACTATTACTTGTAACATTAGAAATTATGTGATAAACATTTACCTCAACTGTAAAACAAGCGACCGTAAAAAAAAAACTGTTTAGTTTTTATAAATTTACAAAATATATTATCTCACGGACAGCACCATTTTATTAGTGCCACAAAGCTTTCTGGGTRAATGATGACATTCACTAGGTTTTTTTGGTGCGAGCTCCTATCCACCCAGAAGGTTAGTTTTGGRCAATATCTGATGTTCAGCCCTTTTAACTGAGAGCCTTGACAGACTGGTGAATGTAGAAATGACTCAGCCTGCAGCTGAACCTGTGAATGGACAGCAGAGCTGCTTCATGGAATGAGAACCAGCCTGTTAGCTTACGTGTTAGCGCCCAAGTTAATACATATATATACAGTATGTATATGGTGATGTAGCATTAGCAATGAACACGCCACATATTATTAGTATTATTAGTATATATATTTGACGTTAGCCCCTGAGCTAACATTATTAGCTCGGGTGCTAAAGCTAACAAGCTAAGCCGAGGGTCTCCTTCCATGATGCCGGTGTTGGTGTCCATCTACAGCAGTGATATTGAGATGCAGGGACACCCACATGGACAGACTTTCTCTCTCACTTGTAGGGACAGTTTAGATACCACTGTACCTTAACCACAAATTTGACATCTTCAAAAAATTGTCAGGTTTTTATTTAACACTTTATGTAACAGAAATCAATTTAGGTGGTGAATTGATGAGTTTAGTGTGAAAAAACAAAACTGATGTGTGTCATTGAAACGTGGTCATCTTGAGATGTTTAACAGAAGGCAGCTGCACTTCCAGTTTTCTATTCACTATCACACTGTTCCTAAAAAGACAATTATGTACTTTTTGTATCATTATTATTTTACTTTGTTCAATCAACAAACAGTAAGATTTTTTAGTTGACTAAAAATAAAAGGTTCTAACTAAGAATGAAAGTTGTTGTGGGTGACGAGGCTCCTGTTTCCTCTKGAGCAGATGGTCCTTTGTAACGAACACCAGGCTGCACATTAATTATTCATGTTCAGGGGCAGACTTAAACAAAGGCAGAGCAGGGAGAYGGAGCAGGCTTCATGTGACCGAACATCTTCTGTTAGTTACTGGCTCAGCACCTTTTTTTGTGTGTGTGTGTGTGTGTTTTTTTGTTCAATGACACATCTTTTGTCGTGAAGTAACACACCACTGTTCAAACTGTGAGCAGGCTCTGACGACGCCGTGCCTCCACACTTCAGCAGCGACGTCCTCGGAAGCAAGGACCYGGGGTTGGACCGTGGAGTCACGTTCAGACACGCAGAGGGGATCTACAGCAAGAGGCTGAAAGCAGGCACCTTTAAAATGCAAAGTCCTGAACTCAGAGGTGAGCCGAGCACACACAGGTCCTGACTAAACCATGAAATATAAAACATGTGAAGGGTTTTCATCAAATACAGAACTATATATAATTAAATGTAACTATATTTAACTTTTTATAAATAAATAACTATATCTAACTTTTTATAAATATATAACTATATATAACTTTTTATAAATATATAACTGTATATAACTTTGGAAATCACACAAACAAAATTTAATTTC